AATGGGGTGGGGTGGGGAGACCTTGTTTCAAGAAATGATATATGGGGTGGGGAGAGCTTCCTCTGTGGACTGTAAAATGGTTTTCCCAAGAGTCACCCAGGGAGCTTCAGGGCCAGATCAAAGACATGGGCTCTTCTATTTCAGGTGTCTTGATTTCCTTGAAAAGATGGGAGGAATTCTAGCCGAGGACGACATTGCAGGGAGAGGGGTTGGCTATGTGAGCAAAACTTGGCTCCTCTGTGAAATCTGAACACTTCTGCTTAAGTAGTCAAGGAGGGAACAGCTAGTGGGGAGGGCTCAGGAGAGTTTGACTTTGAAGAATTTAGTGAATGTCACTTCTCTGATGTTGGTGCCTCTTACTTAATACCTAGACTAGCGTATAAAACTAGAGGTATCAAGTGCCAAGGAGCCCTGGGATAAATTGCTCTGCAATGCAGACAAGAACTTATTTTTCTTTAAATTCAGAGTTCTATGCTTTCTTCTGCTTCTGCAGGGTGTGGCTACGTGGCACAGAACTGACCATCAATAAGAGTTAATCCCTAATCAATTTCTTCTTCTATGCTAGTAATTACTCTAGACATTTTATCTATATAATAATTCACTATTTACGACAAAGCCCCATGTGGCAGATAATGAGGTATATTGCTATTCCCTGTTTGGCCTTGCGCAGGTTAGTTCTCTAAGCCTTAATTTATTAATTGACCCATTTATTTATTTATCATGCCTAATTTAAATTTACGTTTATTTACTTTGTGTGTGTATCACGAACATGTGGTGTGTGGGTGTGTGTGTGTGTGTGTGTGTGTGTGTGTGTGTGTGAGAGAGAGAGAGAGAGAGAGAGAGAGAGAGAGAGAGAGAACATGTGTAGAGATGTCAAAGGTCATCTCATCCTTAATTTAAATTACTTTTATTTATTTTGTGTGCATATCAGGGGTGGTGTATGTGTGTGGGGGAGGTCAAAGAACAGCTTGACAGAGTTGGGAATAGGTTTGATTTTTTTCTTCTACCACTCAGGTCAACTTCCTGGTTGAGGGCTTGGTGGTAAGCACCTTTATCTACTGAGCCATTCTTGGTGGCTGCCACCATGAAGATTTTTTTTTTTTTTACAATGAGTAAATGAGAAGATGCATATTGCGATTGCCTAAAGAATATGTATGTGAAATGTGTATTCACAATGTATGTATGGGGAATTTAGACATAAATTATGTTGAAATTAGGGGTCAGACTCAGACAGCAGCTACGCCATCTGTAGGCTCCCTTTCGAAGAACAGAGGAAATGAGAAGTCAGCTTGCTCTAGGGCAGTAGGCTTTGGGTGTCCTGAGGTGATGAGCTGCTCTTGAGGTTTGGTGTTGATGGGGCAGTAAACACATCCCAGCAATCAGACTGTTTTTCAGACTCATTTCGAAGGCTGTAACTCATAATTCTCTAGCTAAGTTCTGCTGCCCTTTTCCTGATCAATACAACTTTCCACATAGCCATGGGACACTAGGGTGATCAACCCTCCATGTGTGGAGATGGACGGGTTTCCCAAGGAGAGATTTCAAAGCTAAAAGAATGCTCTGAACAAACTACGATGAATTGGTTTCTTTAATAAAAACTAGTGACCAATGCAATGCCACTTAGAGTCTCTCAGCTTGCGCAAATGGACCTGCTCCTTCTGGAATGTTCTTTCTGTTCATCTTCATTTAGTTAACTAAGAATGGCCTCCCTCCCTGGTAACTTCCCTCCTCTGGGCCTTTATAGTTGCTCTTTGATGTATCACACTTGATAACCCTGTCTTATGTCTTCCCTGCTTTTTCTAACTGGCTCTGGAGCTCCTTGGAGGGCTTTTCCTCAACTAAAAAATACGAAACATTTTCAATATATGCCCAATTAACCAATGTGTGTATCACAATGCTCAATACTCATTTTTTTTTTAAAAAACTGTTTCCCTCTTGCCCATTGAAGCAAATGTCACTCATCTCTTCCAAGCATTGTTGCAAGGTGGACATGTTTCTATCACATGGTCAAAGTTTCCCTCCCTCATTTTTCTGCTTTAAAAAACTGTAACCACAAGACTGCTGGAATCATCCATGGAACTGAAATATTCCTTTATTGTATGTTCACTGGGCACTCAGGTGTGTACTACTGTCGTCCCCCCCCTTTTATTTTTTTTGAGACAGGGTGTTTCTGTAGCTCTGGCTGTCCTGGAACTCACTCTGTAGACCAGGCTGGGCTTAAACTCAGAGATCCACCTGCTTCTGCCCCCTGAGTGCTGTGATAAAGGCATGCATGACCACTGCCGGGCTGGACGTTCTTACAGGCAGTTTCTTCTGAAATGAATCCACACACAGTGAAGCTGTTGCTCTTAGTACCAGGCATCCTGAGACTTTCCCACCATCAGGAGTCTCTTTCCTTCACCCTGCCTCTTATTTATGGAGGATATCAAGACTTAGGAGACTTCTCACATTATAGCTTTTTTTTTTTCTCTTTAAAGAATTATTTTTTGAAATTACCAAATAAAAAGGTATGTACCTATCATGTACGATACAATGTTTTGGAATACATGTATATGGGAGGGGTGAATTGACCTTACTGGCATATACATTATCCCATGCATTTGCCATTTTCCCCCACAGTCTGGTCTTGGTTGAGTTCTTCCTCTTGAGTCATTTAATGTTTTCCTCCACACTGGAAGGGCTGTGTCTCTAATTCCACTATGGTTTGGCCTCACATTCTCCTTCACTGTCTTGGTCCAGAAGAGCTGCACAGCTCCATGATCATCAGTGATGTTGTGAGCAGTGTCTGTATCTTGCTTGGTCTTTATGGTAGTCTGTGATACAGGTAAGGCTGCTATAGCTCAGTGACAGGTCACCAAGACCAAGACTCGAATGCAGGGATCATTTCTCCCTCCCCATTCTTGCCTCTCAGAAAGACAGACATAAGACACAAGGACTCCTAGACATTTCAGATCTCTGAGCTCTCTTCAGAGGAGGTCCTGTTCACAGGAGTGGTTTCCACAGGCCTTGTTATCCCTTGCCAATGCACTCTAGGGACAGGATGGAGCCTGAGTGGGAGCTTGGGGTTGAGGCCTGCAAGGGTGGGGCATCGTGGCAGTGGAGAAAAACAGCACAATAAAAAAGTACCTATGTCCACAGCCTTGTTTCTCACGCTGCTCCATTATCTGTACATTGTAGTATAATACAACGGCAGAACACCACTATAAAACATCAGAGAACCCCCATAAACACTAGGAAAATATGTCGTGTGTGTGTGTGTGTGTGTGTGTGTGTGTGTGTGTGTCTCAGCTCCCACTTCTCTCTTTAAACAGTTCCCGTGTCCCACTCTATCTCTCTTCCTCCTTCTCTGCTTCTGCCTGGCATGCCTGAAGTTGTCAATGTCTCTTAAGTTTCTAGAGAAACACTCCAGGGGATAAAGCCCCTCTCAGCTCTGTGAGTGGAGCAGATGGCCTGAGACGCATCCAGCTGGGCCCTGCCTAGGGAAAAAGGAGCGCAAAAGTGACAAAGGAAATTTTATCACGGGGAGAAGTCCTTTGGGGACAGGAATATAAACCACAGGTAGAACTTGTAAGAAAAGAGGTGGAAGGGCTGGACAGGAACTTATTTTATTACTATTATCTTCGTCGTCGTCGTCGTCATCATCATCATCATTTGAGGAGGGATGCGGGTCCCAGGCCGATCTTATCTGCTAGGACCTGTCCTTTTCAGTGGCTAGGGCCTATCCTCCGGAAA